GCTTTGGTGATTTACCCATCATTATTAACTCAAAATGTGTAGCATCCTCATGAAACAACACTACTACCAGGTGCATGTTGGAGATGTTTAAAACACCAAAACAGTTCACATTTGGGGTTCTGGCGGTTTCTTTCGGTGGAATTCAATCCTGGCTTCTGTTACATTCGGAAAAACTTGAAACTGAGTTTTTCCCTTTCCGAATTGACTCCCTGCACTCTATGAAGCCTAGTACTCCTGTTCGTGAAAAAACCATTTTAAAGTTGTAAGCAGAAAAGAATTCTCAGCGTTATCTGCGGCCCAAACTGTGACATTAATGCGTCTTAACTGAAGTTCTGGTTCTTTTAAGTGTTCAGTTGCATCATGATAACCAATATTTTGGTAGGCTTAATTGGGCATATTTAAAGAAAAACGCCCTTCTCGAATCGAGCCACAGTTATCGTCACACCCCAAAAAACTAAGGGGAATGTGTAAATCTAGTGGAGTGATACCAAATAACATATTTCGCATAAAACTGAAGGTATTTCTACTGTACAGACAAAGATGCTCAGCAAAATGTAGTTAGTGCATTGAACCAAGTAGCACGTCCAAGAATAAGGTGGACCAATTCTTCCGATAAACTGACATGTTATGTATGCATGTTTCCTGTAAGAAAAAAAAGAGCACTTTGCTTTCAGGGAGAGATTTGTTGAGAAATTTAAGGTAGTGGAGCAGCTGAATAAATTGCCTGAACCTCAAAGTAGTTAATCGACACATCTGAAACATTGTGAGCTGCAATCCCGTCTCCTTGACCAACGTCAAATGCATTGTGATGGAGCAATGACGCTCAGTTACTGTGATAATATCCTTACCAACATACAAGACCTCACTGTCTTACATTAATATAATCTGCTTTCCGTACGCACTACTACCACTATTGGGGAAGCCAACAATGCTGGCTACCTGTCTAAGGAGCAAAACTCACTTCTACCTGGGAAAGACATTGTGTATGGTCAGCGATCAGCTGCCACGACTCCAACTCAGCATCTGGAAATAATATCATGCACTAACTTGGCAGGTCTTTACTATTCCTAAATAGCATATTAACGCCAACTTTAAGGCCTGTTTCTCAATTGAAACATCTGAAAAATAGCCCTCCTAGATTCGCTTTTAATCCGCCTTTTAGGAACATCTTATCGCATGAGCGTTGCTTAATGTGCAGTAAAAAGTCCTAGTTCATCCCAAAAAGCCCGGAAACAAAGTAGCAACTCTCAATACTAAACTGAGCCTATGGTCTAGTACACCTATCGATCTTTCAAGAAGCATGTGACCCGTGGAGGAATTAAAGTAATAAGAAAGAAGGAGGAAGAAAGAAGTGTAAAATGCATCGGCCAAGGCTACCTGAATATAGAGAAGTGGGACAAAGATTTGGAACAGAATGACGTAGCATGAAAGGAAAGTATACTCTCCTAAGATCAAACATCTAATCTGGGTAACACAAATATGCAAGAATTTAGCAAAGGAACATCAAAAGGTAGAAAAACCCACCTCAAATGCTATGTT